AGAGTGTAGGTTTAGATTAGATACTTGGAAAAAGCTCTTTACTGTGATGGTGGTGGGGTACAGGAATAGATTGCCCAGAAAGGTTGTGGATGCCCCATCCCTGGAAGTGTTCAAGGCCAGGTTGGATGGGGCTCTGAGCAACTTGGTCTAGTGAAAGGAAAGGTGTCCCACGGCAGAGGAGTTGGAACTAGATGATCTTTACGGCCCCTTCCAACCTGAACCTTTCTATGATCTGTATGTATCTCTGCTCTTCTGTGGAGGGTGAGACCAAATGTACATACACTGGTTTTCTCAGAAACCTGTTTTAGCAACTTCGGGTTGTTTTTTTGTTTGTTTGTTTGTTTTTAAGCTGGCCACATACATAATGTGTTTTACTTCTGTAGTGAGAGAACATTTAAGTTACACTAGACTTTCTTTGGACCTGCTCTGCTATAATCAGCTATGACTTTTTTACTGCAAATGAGATTTTAAAAGACTCACTTTGGAAAATACTGTGTCTGTAGTAGGCGTTATTTTCTGAAAATCTCTTCCTTTTGAACAGTTGCCTTTTCAGAGGGCTTGCATCTTATTACTACTGCCAGTCGGCTTGATTTCTGTTTTCCAGCTGCCTCTTTTCTTCTGTATCTGATCTAAAATAACTATTAAGACAGAACTATGATTTCTGAAAGCTGTCTTAGGGAAGGAAAGTGTAGAGGGGAGTGTGGTATGAGTAATATAATGAGGTAGTAAAGCCATAAAAATTAGGAAATGTATTACAGCATTTACATCAACCTGTTATACCCCTTCGTCTTGTAGTAAGTGTCCCCTGAAATAGTGATCTTCAAATGGTATCTCATGGGAAACTTGGTGCCTGTAGGACCTTTGTCCTGTCTTGATAGCCACAGGACTCATCTACCCCCAGCTTGATGGGAAGAGCAAAAGATGAAGGTCCTTGCAGCAAGTTGCTCACTCTCTGTTACTGCCAGCAATGTTTAGCACTTACTGTGTTGTGCCACTCCTCTGTACTGGCAGCTTTAATGCTGCAAAATCAAATCATGGAAGTCTGGTATTACACACTGAAGTAAAGTCAAAACATTAGGTACTACAGTGACACTTGGCCTGTGGCTCATAGTGAGATGCTGCTGGTATTTGTTTTCATGTGCTAAAAATCATCTTTTTGGTACTCCCTCTTGACAGTCTGATATTCAAGAGATATAGTACAGGTCTGTTTAAGTATTAATAAGTGGTTAGATTGGATGTGGTCTAACTACTGTTGTGGGTTTTTTCCCCCACTCTCCAGCTTGGTGATCCATCCATTTTCCCTGCTGTCATCGTGGAGCATGTTCCTAGCGCAGACCTCCTGCATAACTACTCTGGCTTAACCTGCGTGGATGAAACTAGTGACATGATCACTGAGAATTCTCTGGATGTCGCAGAAGAGCAGATCATAGAAGATGATGATATCACCCTCACAGGTTCGCAATAGAAACCTTTCTGTGCCATGTTTTTGCACCAAGATGGCTGTGACTAATAGTGGGGAAAAAAGCTTAATGACAAAAAAACAACAAGGAACAAAATGAGTAGTTGTTTTGAATGTGACTTGCAATCCCAGTTGCACAGCTGATAATGAAGAGTTTCATCCATCAACAGAGATTAAGGCAGAATCCTGCTCAAAGTATCCAGCAAGATTTTTCTTTGCTTTTCATAGATGTTTGTTTGCTCTTATGTAATAATTGGTACATTGCTAAGTAAATGTACATACCAAAGAGCAGGAATATGCAGCTTGAGTAAGTGTACTACTTTTAACTTCCTGAGGGTATACAATTAGCCATATAATGTGCAGATTAGTGTGACTTACTGGTGTAAGTATGCTCAGCATAGTATTAATTTCAGATCTCAGATGCCTAAAATGCAGATGTTTTGTATAAATTCTGTTAGAAAAGGTAGCCCCTAAGAGAAAACGGTTCTGAAGAGGAAAGCTCAAAGATGTGTCACATGTTTTGAAAAACAGCCCCTCACTAAATGCATGTATTTGATGCATTTTTGCAGCACAGGTCTCAGAGGCAGGGCAGATCGTTCACAGTCTTTCAGCCACTAGGCTCCACACCTGGACTGTCTCCAGGGATGGAGACAGCTTGCTGGTTTCACTCAATACGTTTTTCTCTCTTTTATTATTTTTAATATTTCCGAAGGCATACTCTGATACAGTCTTTTACCACCAAAAGCAAAACAAAAACTCAACTAAACTTGGCATGAGGAACAGTTCACAGAGTAAACTGACATGAGCTGTTCTCAGTAAATGGTTTTATCTGATGAAAATGTCTGGGGGTTTTTTTTCATCAGTAGTGAATTATCTGTGAACAGACTGTGACCATACAAATAAGTTAGCTTATTATTTGAGAAGGTTTTACATACTCAAACATTATTTCATCTTGAGACCTCTTGCCAACTATTCACTTGCTGTTCATATTAATTATTCACACTGCAACTGGCATTTCCTCAGTGTGTTACTTAAGCACCACTTAATGTGTCCCTGTGAATTTTCATGGCAGATCATTTTTGGGAATCCATATTCCCTCTAATATATTGTGTGTGAATTTTTACTTGCATGAGTAATTGTGAAACTCCACTTTTCTGAATGCCCTTGTTAATGTTTTTTTATTGCTGGTCACATGAGAAGGGTTTGCAGATTGCTACCAGAAACTGGAAATAAGTCATCCTGTACCCGATGGTGTCCAAGGGTTTCTGGGATACCTTGGAAGCAGACAAATATGGTATTGTTCCCATCATCCATTGTAGCTCAGGCAGTCTGGTTTTCTTTAAAGGCAGAGTCCTTAGAAATCGAGAGCTGCTACTTTGCAGAGATTATTGTTGTGAAGGAGATATTAACGAATTATCAGTTTCACACTCTCCATCCTGCTAGTTACTGTGCATGCTGTGGGTTTCCTTGGAAAGGAAAGCAGTGGAATGCAGGCTGGGCAGGGCCCAGCACCACTGCTGGAAAGCTCCTGCTCAGGATGCAGGGCAGGCAGCGTTGGCAGCTCAGCCCCTGGTTTCTGGCCAGGAGCTATCCGGCCGGGCTCTACTGGGGCAGAATTCAGGGCCCAGGGCTGCTCACCTCAGCTACAGGAGGTGAGCAGAGGACGTTTGGGAAGGAGGCCCCTGTCACTTCCCTGCCCACTGCAGGTAAGCATTGCCTGTGGCCACAGCTGCCCACTTGAGCTGCAGGACTACTGTGTGCAGGAGACCCAGTTCAAGCACAGCTTGCTGTAGGCTGCCTCTGAAATGGGGCTAATCATAACTGAAATTTCCCACCTACTCTATTTTTCAGCTGCTTTTTTTCCCCCTCCCTGCTTTGAAGTTCCCTTCTTGATTTTATTCATGGGTGTGTTTGGTCTCAACAGTGAAATGTGTTGTTTTGCTCTTTGAAGTTTGTAGCAGTCTTTTCAGTCACTTTAACGTAATGCCTTTGAGAGAGGATCAGACATTATAAAGACTGTACTAATTCCACATTAAAATATTTATAAGACTGGAGTTCACAGCGAAACAAAACCGAAACCACCATCATTTGTGACTAAAGAATACTGAGCAATGACTGTAATATGAAGGATTTAGGTTTTTTAAAGTTACTAGTTTTTCAGTACAGTTTTATGACTCATACCTTAAGTTTCTCTTTCCTCCTAAACTAACAGAAATTAGCAGTAAGCTAATGAAACTAAATTGCTTTGTGAAAAGCATTGCTTCATGAAACTAAAGAGATTGGTTTTTAGGGAGTCTCTCTGCAGAGTAATGGATGCTAGTAGGTTTTTTCATCTATAGGATGTAGCTTCAGCCCTTCAAAACCACAGCTGTTGCACATTGGTGATTACTTACCTGTAGTATAAATTAGGACCTGCGGAAAACTGTAACATCTGTTTCACATGAAACCCTGCTGAGAGATGGCCAGCAACCACCTTTTTAGTCATGCTAATGCTCATGCTGTAATTTTTTTACACTGAACAGGCAGACCTGCATTACCACCCTCCTCTTTAAAAGCACTTTTCCCTGGAAGTACTGTGATGGCAATTTTATGGTCGGTTTATTGCTAGTATTATGGAGTTTTAAATGATTAACCATCATGTAGTAAAGGGTGATTAACAAAATTAATTGGAGCATTTGGCTTTGAATGAAGTTTTATCCCTAAAAGGAGTATTGAAATTCTTTTTCTCTGATAAGTACAGGGGACAGTGTTTTTTGCAGAAGAAATTCTAGGCCAACTTGTCAGTTGTGGGTTTTTTTTAAACTATACCATGTCTGGTGAGTTGAATTTAGATAAAACAACAGTTAATCAAAGTCTGCCATTTTGCAGCTCACCTGTTCTGGTGTTGTTTTCATGGGGATCAGGGAAGTGGCTGCACTGAGACAGTTTGGGGAGGGGAATGAGAGAGGATGGACAGCAGGTTTGCACTTAGGTGCCCTGTGCCCTCTGTTGATTCATAGATCAATAATGGTCCTTAATAACTGGTTCAGAAGTTACTTTACAGCATTTTGAAGTTTGGTTGCATTTGGCTTGTACATTTTGTGAAGCTCTAGCAGTCCTGCATAAATCCAGTGTCTTTGGTGGTCAGCTGTGACGCTATAAAGAAATCCATAGGAATGCTCAGGTGGAAACTGAACTTCATAGTGTTAATCTGTGAGGACTGTGAGTTGACAAGATGCCAGTTGTAAAAAAAAGGGGTATGGTTTCAATTACTTTGTAAAGAAATTGTTTGCGGCTGCCTGTAGCGTCTGGTTCAAAACAGGGGTTTATTGTACACCTTCCCAGTGAGATAATTTTCTTTACAAATTGTAAAGCCTTATTTAAAAAAGATGAAGGGTGATGTGTAGGTGTCCTGAAATATGTGTTCATAAACTTTGTTTGCCAGTGTCAACTCAGGGCTGATCGCTAGTAATTTTAAGCAAGTAATTGCTTAAATTTAACAGCTAGTTATTCTGCCCGACGGGGCTCTGTCCATGTTTGATGGATATCTTTCTACTTTGAGCAGCTTTAGGTTTCTTCTGGCATTATTTTGAGGCTCTTCAGTCCCTGTTTTTGTCTCTGGTAAGACCAGCAGTGAATTTAAACAGAGCTGTGAATAGCACATCCCTTATCTTGGCCTGGACAAGGACTCGCGTTGTCTACTGTCTAGGGCTGCCAGGCACCAGGGAAGGGAAGCAATGGGAGCAGGACAGGATTGTCCAAAGTGGTGTAAAACTTTCAAAAAAGGCATTCGGCAGGAGTAGAGAGAGCAGGACTTTGACAGAGGTGGGGAACTTCCAGCGTGAGGCATAATTTCAGAGCAGAAAGCTGTGTTTGGGCAAGCCCCGTGCTAACGCTGATTCATGGCAGTAACTGGGCTGTAATTGGCATGCAGATGCAGAGGCTTACATTTGTGGCTTGCTCAGATAAACAAAAACTTGTAGAGTACCCTGGGAAAAAATTGAAGGTATTTTTAGGTGTGGTTTTCCCCCTTCCCTCCCTTTTTTCTGTTTTCCCCTGTTTTCTCCCCCCTTTTCCTTTTTTTCTCGTCCATTTTTCTTCCCTACAGTTTTCCCTTCTTCATTTTTTTTCTGCCCCACTTTTTTCCCCTCTTTTTTTTTAAAAAGGCTTCTGCATATTTAAGATAACATTTGAAACCTGATACTTCTCAGAAATTATCCCCCCCATCTTACAGCTCTGCCTTTGCCAAAGTGTAACAAATAAGGCATTTCATCCCAATTCCTCTTGAATCTGTGATTGTATCCTAACTGCCAGTGGTTGGAATACTGTGCTGTAACATTAAAAGGAAAACTAAGACTGAAAGTAGAACTACTCAGCCTTTGGTAGCTGAGTTGGTTATCTCTGAGCACTGTCTCATGTTGAGGGATGCAAATTAGCATCTTGCTGGTGGTTGGACAAAGAGGTGGTCCTCCATTTCCTGTGTGAGCTGCCGCACATCTTGTTTGTATGAGCTCTTGAGTTCTTGTAATTCAACTTCTTAACCCAGCAATACTCTAAATACCTTTTCAGAAAGCTCAGGTAGCTCACTGTGTGATCAAAAAAAGCGTAAAGCCTGGCATATCTTAAGTGACAGAAATTTGGGTCCTGAACCATGACTAGAGATGGGAACCACAGCCCTTGTTTTCAGCAACAGGAAAATACTAACTTGTCTTAAATGACTTTGTGAAATCATCTTCTCAGAAGAGGCTTGAAGGGTGTTAGCAAGGGCATTGATGTAGAAAGGTGTTGGCAAGAGCATTAAAGTGGTTAAAAAACTTTTGTTTGCCATTCTGTCTGAGGATAGAAAGACAGTGCTGCTGCTTACATTTTGCTGTGCATCAAATGATACTAATTTCTATACTTACATTATTTATATGGCTGTCATAAGTTCCTTTCATTAGTCTTGGACAAGGGTGGCTTCTAGCCATATGATATAAAGCTGGCAACCTCTGCCTTGCCTGCTATTACTCAGTGAAGAATTGACTTTGCTCCTTCCCTTCCATATCTGAAGTCCAGCGAGCAGGTTTGGTCCTCATACAGCTCTCGCTGGGGAGAGGACAGACAGCTGCAGCTATCTCCTCCCTGCCTGCAGCACTGAGAACCTGGGGCACCACTGCTGGGATTTGAATTGCATGTGGTATCAGGCACCAGTCATGCACCATGGCTTTGGTTGAGCTGGATCATGGTAGGTTAACCTTACTATTTCAGCAGTGCTCAGTGCCTATATTTAGGGTGACATCTTTGTTACAGTATAGTTTCATGGTATGTTAAGGGGTTGAAATGGACCTTAGTGATCATATAGTCCCAAACTCCCCTGCCATGGACAGGGACACCTCCCACCAGACCAGGTTGCTCAAGACTTCATCCAGCCTGGCTTTGAACACTGCCAGGGTTGGGGCATCCACTACTTCCCTGAATGGTATGCTGGTATATGGCATGGAAAGTTCCCATTCAGATAAAACTTAGAACCAGAAGTGACCATGTCATCAGCACCAGGCTAAGCATGAGCATGTCTGCAGACTGCCTGGGCTGTGGGTGGTTCTGTCTCCTCAGCTGGCCTAGGGTTGCTGTTTGGCTCTTGGGCCCGAGATGCTCTGCAGCTGAGCCCCTGAGCCTGCAGCTTGCCTGACATAATTGCAGATTTGCTGCTGTGTTGCTCTATGGCTTCCCAGGACAGGACCTTAGTCCATAAGTCACTGCCTTTTCTCTTCATGCTGTCCTCCCCAGCTCTGTGTTTCTCATTTCTTAAGTCTGTTTGAAGTTTTCAGGCAGAAGGTGCAGATCCTTAGGTGTCTGAATGCTTTTGTAAGATATGGGGTGGAGGCAGTCCTGTAGAAAACAGGGTGAATTGCTGTTGTGCATCAGGAGTTCCCAACACCCATCTACTTTATTCTGTCTTAGCCTGAGCCTCTTATGCTTGGGGCATGGTGGGACTGAGGTCAAGAAAAAAAATCCAGAAGGTAAGAAGGCTTCTGTAAATCACAGCTGGGTGGAGGAGGTAGGGCTGATGTGTGGATGCCAGATTCATCTTTAATGATATGATTGCTGAAGCTGTGAACATTTGGGGTGAAACTAGGGGGTTTTGTTTGGTTGGTTTTTTTAAATTGTGTAATTGCTCAGTGCTAATTGAGCTGAGTGCTTTGTTGTTCTGATATTTTTAAGGTGTTGGATTTTTTAAAAGTTTAGAAATCCTGGCATAAACCTCTTGCTTTTGTGTAATGTTCCGAGGTCATTGAATTGTGTTTATGGTGGATGTTTGCTTGCTGTGCTAGTCAGTCTCTTTTTTTTTTTTTTTTTTTTTTTAACTCCCCCCCCCAACCTCAAAGCTGAACAGGGAGAGAGGGTGTGAAGCTGACTCATTACCAGACTGAGAAAATAAGTGAGGCTTCTTGGTGTCCAAGGGAGGGGAATTCTAATGCAGCACTTTTTATAGCTTTGATAACTGCAAGCGAATTCCCCAAAGTGGCATCAAATTGATGTTAAAAAGGATAAGGAAGCCTGGCCCATCCAACAAAGAGTAATTTCTAAAAGAAGGTGTTAAACAGTTTTAAATGTTTATGGTACCAGGAACGAACATCTACCTTTTCATGCTACAATTATTTTGAAAAGTCCTCTGGTAAAGTACTCGTCCAGTCAAACCAATATTATCTTCTAGAATGGTTGTTATTTTGCAAAATGAGATTTTATGGGAGTTTTTTGACATGTGCCTTCATATGGCCTTCAGATGTACCTTAAGCATTATAAATTAATGCTCAGGAGCTTCAGCTTTGTCTAATGACTGATTAGGGATTGTCTGGAAGTCAAAAATTTTGAAAAGTTTGCCAGCCTTCTGTATTGCTTTTCATGTTTGCTTTCCAGTGTGTTCTTGGAGCCTGCACTGCTAGTCCTAACTGTTATTCCTATGGCTTTGAATGGTTTAGGATTCAGCTGGATCATATGCTCTCTGTTAGAAATTGTGGAATATTTTCTTGTATTTCCTCCAGGCTAAATGACTGGATATTTTGATGAGCATCTTTTAGTTATGGAATTCACTTCCTTTCATGGAATCATTGGGTTGGAAAAGACCTCTAAGATTATCAAGTCCAACCATCAACCTAGCATCACCACCATGTTCACCATTAAACCATGTGCTCAAGTGTCATATCCACAGGTTTTTGTGTGCATTACATTTTGGACCACTGTAAGAAGTTAGCAATATTGTGCGTGTTGCATTTTAGTGTATATGCTTGACCAGCAAAGAGAGGGTTAGAAAGATAAGGCAGAAACAAGGGGTTTCTGTTGGGTTTTTTTTTCAAACACACGCAATCTGAAAAATATAGCGTATAAAATAATTTATTGAAATGTGCATTTTCTCCTCAGCTAATATTTTGCTGCTCATCTAGTAGAAGACCATGTTTACCACCTTTGGTTTTTTTAAATGAAACATGAATAAATATCATGTTAAGCTTTAAGTCTAGTTTGTTGCTTCTTAAAGATTATTTTTCCTCTCTTGCCTTTAGTTGAAACATCTTGTCATAATGGAGATGAAACAATGGAAACAATCGAGGCTGCGGAAGCACTTCTCAATATGGACTCCCCTGGCCCTATGTTGGATGAAAAAAGAATAAGTAAGATTTTAATGAAAGGAAATCCAATCTGTATTTGCCTTGGTTATTTGTGAAAGGAGGAGAGATTCAGTGCAGCATGGGTTGATGGAACTGGTATTATTATTGGTATATTATTTTATAGCTTCCAGACAGCCTTTACATACATAGCTTGGATATTAGAAATCCAGTGTTGTGTGCAGTGAAGGATTTCATTCCCGTGCCAGAGTTCAACAGGAAAGGAGATAATCAAAAATTAGAGGGAAGGTGTGTGAATCAGGTTGGGTGGTTTAGATTGCAGTGGCTTGTTTGGCTGGTGGAGGATTAGTCTGTTTATGTTGTCAAGATAAAAGAATATATGCTTACATTTGCAGATTGCCTTAAATTTGAATGTGTGATCATCAGATAATTGTGCTTTTTGGGGGGTGGGCTGTATCATTAAATTGTTCGATTTCAGTAGTGCTATGGTAGTGTAAAATGTTGTCAGCACATATATTCCATTATGAACTAGTCTTCTCTCCCTTGAAGGCCTTAAGGGTCATAGTTGTATTTTGTTCTGTGTTTAAATTTTTGCTCTAAAAACAGCGGCATGTGAAAATATTCGTTTTGTCCCTCTCCCTTAAGCAACGATGTTTGGTCCAACTGAAGAGGATGATATGGTGGCTCCTATTACACACGTGTCAGTCACGCTTGATGGGATCCCTGAGGTGGTGGAAGTTCACCAAACTCCAGACCCTTATCCGGAATCACCAGAGACTCCAGAATTTGAACAACCAAAGAAGAAAAAAGGTAAGATGCTACTGGGGAACTGCAGCAGTGGGTGTCATGGTTGCTTCTTCTGTGGGTGTCTGGACCCATTCTGGGTGTCAGGCCAAAGTAGCTGAGTGGGCTCAACTAGAAATGCAGATAAAGCTTTGTCTTCCTGGGTAGTGTGAGCACAGATACTGGTGCCTAGACACTAATGATGTTGTAGAGGAAGGAATGATGGCTTATCCCACAGGAAATAGGAATCTCTGCTTGTTTCTTCTTCAGAGCAAAATTGCAATACAAGCTATAGAGCTTTTGTTGCTGTGAATCCTGAATACTTTGATTAGATGTTACTAAGCTTCAACTGGAGATACTTGATCAGTTCAGAACATGGGATGAGAATGAGGAATATTTTTAAACTTTTCTTGAATATGAATGATGTAATTTTTTTTAATAGCTGCATGCTTTAGTAAGTGTTAGTCCCATTTGTAGTAGATTATATTTATGCAGTGTAGTGATATTCTATTGCAGTCAGTGCTGTGCCAGAGAGTGAGGAAGTGGTGTTAGCTAGAATTCTACTCCTGTTTTCCCACCCTGCTACATACAGCATGGACCCCATCAGAGGCCCTGAAGCTGATGCCTGCAGGGGAAGATTGATGCAGCGCAGGCAGATGTCAGATGCTCTTGCACAAATTAAATGAAAAAGAAACCAAGGAAATTATGGTTTTGAACTAATGCTAGAGCTAACCATAGAGCATGAGCCCTTTAACAGGTTCCCCTGTGAAATAAAAGCCTTCTAGGACAGGGATCCTGCTACCCAGCCATGCTCTTGCCGAATAAGAGTGCATTTTTGCCGCTAATTTTGCTGCTAATTCCAAATATTTGGAGTTGCTATCTGTGAGAGAGAGCCTTTCAGCCTGTGGAGATCTTGGAGAAGCCTCCTGAGCCCCATGTGTGTCACAAGGTCTGGTAGGGACGGGTGTGGGTCAGGAAGTCTCCAATTCCCCTAGAAAAGCTGAACTGAAACTGCTGTGGAGGAGAGCTTTACCAGCAGCTGCCCTGAAAGTGCTGCTGGGGAAGCAACTGTGCTGTGCTCACTACTGTGAGATAACCAACTGTAAGAGGATTTTAAACTGGTTTGTTTTTTTTTTGGTTTGTTCTTTTCTCTTCTTCTCCTTTTTTTGCTGTTGACTGCTGTGTAGGTCAAAACAAGGAGCTGCTGTCTGCTAGACATTTAACCTCTTTGGTTTGATGCTTTCACACCCTCTTTTGTGTTGTGCTTCTGCTTACTCCCACTCCTTCCTCCTCCTTCCTAGCCATAGGTTAGAAAACCAGCTGCTTCACAGCAAATGTGTGTATTTGTTATAGAAAAAAACCCAAAACGCTAGAAAAGATGCATTAGCTTAGTGTTTCATTAGCTGCTAGTTTTCAGTGATCTTGAGACTTCATGAGGAAGATGGTAAGGAGTGAGTGATGTTGTAATGTTACTTCAGGATGTCCAGGGATTTGTAAGGCACTGATGTACAAGAATTGTGGCAAAATATTATTAATTTTGTAGTGCACTTTAGGATGGTGTGCAGCGTGTGGGTGATGCTCTTTTGGTTTTTTTGTTTGGTTAGGGTTGGGTGTTTTTAAGTGCAGTCTGTTTCCCTTCCTTTGGTCAGTTTTGAGGCATGGCACAGGGTGGTGGTCAGTTTGCTCTATCCATATCACTACCATTTTATAGGCTGCTATCCTGTATAACCCATCACCTAAACTTCAGGGATGTATGGTGTGGAGCATTGCCAGGTAACTGAGCCAGAATGGCACTGCCAAGTAGAGCTCCTCCAAGAAAATGTTCTCCAGAAGTGATGTGGTGATTTCACTTCCTTTCCTTGTGGGCCTTGCCTCATTGCTGCAGCAGGAGAGCTGTAACCACCCATCTGCTCAACTCCAAACTCATGCTCAGCATGATGTTTGTACTCATGAATGTCTCAGTGCTGAGCTGCCAAACTATGGATCAGAAAGACAGGAAAAACAAAGGGATATCAGACAAAGAAACTTGGAAATTTGCTGTGCTGATACCTTCAGTCCTGTGTTTGCTGTGGGAGGTATCTGGCAGTAGGTGGTCACGTAAGTTATATACACATTATATTTTAGATATATACCACTTATTATGCTTTTCCATACATTTTGGGTTTTTTTAAAAAGAATCACTGAAAACAGAGAAAGAAATTGTATTTTACATTCTCTGGTGTGGTGTAGCATACTTAATCAGGATTAACATCCCACTGTTCAAACACCGCATTTGTAGCATAAATTTCTAACCTGAATTGTTTTGCAGCCATGGAAATAGGGAGGTGGAAATACCAATTATAAATTTAATTAGCTATACAAAATTACAGCAGTCCTACATAAGGCTTAGGTCTTGCACATTCTTCATGCTTTCTCTTTGTAAAATTCTCTCCTAAAAAGGAATTTAGTGGTATACTCTGAAAGGTAACAAATTCATGCTCTATTGAACCAAAGGAGGAAGTATGCTAGTGCTTAATATGCTCTCAAAAATACCTTCTTTTAAACCAAGGAAGCATATTGGTGTCTCTGTTAACTGTTTTTTTGATGGTATCAGTCAGTGCATGGAGATTATAGCTTACACTGTAGTCTTAAAACCATCATCTTAAGTATCTCTAGCCCAGATACACAGCAATAACATCAATACGTTTCTGTAAACAAGTTTCATATTCTTCACTGGTTTCTAATTGTGGATGAACTTCGGTGAAGTGTTGTCCAGATAGGATGTCCTGAAGTAGTTTAGGCTGAAGAAAGAGAGCCTAGAATTGTTGTTGCAGGAGTATCCATATTTAGCATCCTAGGTTATCTCTACTCAGAAGTGCATTAATTATATGGGTCAGTACTTACGTTTCCTGAAGTTAACCAGCAGTAGTTTAGTCATGACCTAATTGAGCTCTCATCCACTTCATTTTCTGTTAAGAACTGAACTCATTTAAACAGAAGGTCTAAATTAGTGACATCAAAATAACACTCCCTAGTCCTTAATGGCATATGTTTACACCTGTTCAAGATGGGCAACAAGGCAAGCACCCAACAGAGTCTTCCCATGACACAACTCTGAGGGGGAAAAGCAGTTAGCCAAAGTTACCCTGAGGGACTTCTTGTGCTGTAGAAGCTTGATCCATACAAGAGAGACTTCATCTGGACATTTTAGGGAAAACAAATTTCTGCATCCTATAATGGTGAGTGGAAAAAAGCTGCTAAAAATGTACTCCGGTAATTCTTTATCCTTTCATATCATGATATATGTACAAAATGAAGTTATAGGATTTCCTCCCTCCCATCTTCATTCAAATCAAGGAAGACACTAGCAGCCAGACAATGCTGTCATTCATGTCCCATCCTCAGTCATGAATCCTGTCTGAATGGAAGCAAGAAAATTAGAAGACTCCAGATGTTACTAGAGTTTCCTCACTGTAGCTCTCTCAGCTAGCTATCCCTCCTCCCACATGCTCTGTTAAAAAAAAAGGAGAAAAAAAAAGGTGCAAAGGTGGACTTAGCAAGACTGCTAATGCCAAAAGGTGAGTGCTCAAGCCAGTGTTTCTTACGACTTCTTTATAGACACTTGGAAGTCCAGAACAAAGGAGACACTGCAGGCTAGCATTGAACTTTTTTTTTAAATTTCAGACCTAGTGAAAAACCCTCACTCTGCAGTAGAGCCATTTCCTTGCTAAACAGCCCCTGAAAACAAAACTGAAAGTGGAAACTTAGTGTATAGGATTGCACAGGCCTGTTGGTCTTGCCTCCTCAGAACATCAGATCTTTTGAAATGCGATAAATAGAGAAAAAGAAAAATATTTTTCTTTAAATCTTTAATTATGACAATATGCTATTTGGACTAGAAATACATTTCTCTGAGTCTTGTGTCTGCTTGGTCTATTCTACCTCTGAAAAGATCAAAGGTAGTACATGAGTAATTTAGGTGATGTCAGCATAGTAAAGGGTCACTGCAAAACCTGGTACGATAAATTATTTCATAAGAGAGTTTTGAAGGTTTCTGATTAATTGTATCACCTGTAAAAGCTGCCATTGCAGGGAAGGAACAGTAATAAAGGAATGGGTTCAGGGTATTATATTGAAAAATACTTTGGCATGACTTAGTTTTGTTTTTTTTAAATTACACTTATGTTTTAGTAGTAGATTTCCCAACGTTTCCAAATTAATGCTTTTCATTCTTGTCACCAGTTGTAGCTAACTTCTTCCTTTCAGTCATCTTCACCAGACAGAGTGACCATGCATACAGCTTTAAAAACTGGTCTTTTTTTAAGAGCCTGTTGCTGGTTGGTCTGATCTTCATAAACAAGTGACTTTGCTTTACCTACAGTCACTGTTGAAAAAGGTGTAAATGACAATAGGACAGACAAAAATGTCTGTTTTACATGACACTGTAGTTTGCTGCTGTCAGTGGAGATTTGCAATCTATTACACAAGCAGACAGTCTTGTTTTGTCCCTAAATTCCATTTTGGCAATAAGTGAACAACATAGTGCTCTGTATTTTATTTAGCTTTTCCTGTTTAAACTCTTACTCACAGTTAATAGCTTATTGTTCTCATCTTGTCTGTTTTCAGTGCTCTTAAGAGTACCTAAATAGCCACAAAAATTTCCAGTGTACATGGACTTCATAAAAGTGAGCGTAGTCTTTGTTAGAAGAACAGCATAGGAGGTCTAGTCTTGCTGTAGAAAATGAAGAAGTTCAGCGCAGAATTGAGTTCTAACTTAGTAGAAATTGAATCTTCTTTGAATTGGGGAAACAAATCTCTTCCCTATTTAGGTCCTTGTTCTTTTTTGTTTCTTTGGTTTTTTTCTGTTTTATAAGCTGCAGTTGACTTACTGGGGGTTTATTTCAGGGAAGAAGCCGAAACCATCTCGTCCTGAGTCCCCTACTACAACTCCAAACATATCTGTGAAAAGGAAAAACAAAGATGGAAAGGGTAAGTCAAAGAGTTGTCACTGAAGTTTTTGAAAGAGTATTTTTTCTGAGGGACCTGTAAATAAAGAAGTTAACTAGTTCTCTTGTGATGTAAACACAGGTCTTATGTTCAGGGGTGGTTAACATTTCTTTCACCTTAATGGCAAGTAAAAAATGAGCACACGAGATTTCTTAGTGAAATACTCAGTTCCTAAGGGCAATAATGTATTTGTCACTTCAGCTGCAAGGATTATTGAAAATACTTCAACGCCACACAGAGTCTGCTGTGTTTTGATTGAAGTCTTGGGGAACACTTTGCATTGTATTAGTGTTTCTTGGGCTGTGGTTATTTTGACAGATGATCTTTGAAAATGTGTTCCATCTGTATGTGTCTAATTCTGCATGAGGAGCTAATCAAGGCTGCCAGTTGGCAGCCGGAAGAACCTGTCTTCCAGCATTTCTTAAAGGCCCCTTATAGTACCAAGCCCTGAATTTTGAGAAAAGTTATAACACGGCTTGAAGACTTGGGCAGAAAACTTGGATGTTTCATACTTCTTTCATTCCTCCTGTGTTTAAAAGGAAAAAATAAAAAATCATAGATTCCTAGAATTTTAGGGGCTGGAGTGGACTTTACATCTAGTCCCAACCCCCTGCCATGGGCACAGACACCTCCTCACTAGATCAGGTTGCGCAAGGCCTCATCCAGCCTGGCTCTGAACACTGCCAGGTTTGGGGCAGCTACCACTTCCCTGGGCAACCTGTTCCAGAGTCTCCCCACTCTCACAGTTAAAATCTCTTTCCTAATATCTAACCTAAACTTCCCCTCCTTCAATTTGAATCCATTAACCCTTGTCCTGTCATTGCAGTTCCTAACAGAGTCCCTCTCCAGCTCCCCTGTAGCCCCTTCAGATATTGAAAAGGTACTCTGAGGTCTCCACACAGTCTTCTCCAGGCTGAACAGCCCCAAATTCCTCAGCTTGTCTACATAGAAGAGGTGCTCCAGTCTTCTTATCAAATTTGTGGCCTCCTCTGGACTTGCTCCAACAGTTCCATGTCCTTCTTATGCTGAGGACACCAGAACTGCACGCAGTATTCCAGGGGGGGTCTCATGAGAGCAGAGGAGAGGGGGAGATAAATGCCACCAAACTTATGCAATAAATTATTTCCTCCAGACTGTTCAGCAGTGCCTGTCAGTTTTGCCAGCAACTCAGTTGCTTTGCTCTTGGGTCCAAGGCCTCTACCCGTGCCCAGGCTGGTGTTTGAGTGGCAGCCTGATGCCCTGGCCCCCAGCAAGTTGTGCTGTGCTCAGTGGGAGCTGGAGCTGGAGTCACAAGTGCCTGCATGTACACCTAGGGACTGATCTGCTTGCAGGCATGCAGCACTTGCCGGGACAGAAGCTCAGCCAGCCCTGGAGAGTGGTGGCTTAAGAATGTCAGACTTTTGAAGTCAGAAAAATCTCTGCACTGACACATGAATGTGTTGGGTTTTTTAACAGGCATTTCTGCAGGAACAGGAAGAGAAACCTGTTGGCAAGCAGTAACTATTTAATGTGTTAATGGCATCAGTTTTAAGTATGACTTGTTGCCTTTTAAAAAAAAATTTAAAACCTGATTTTTAAGTAAAAAATAAAGACAAATATCAGAGGAACCTCCAAGTGGTGCTCAAGTGAAATAATATAAAATATGAAAGCAGCTAGCTACAAAAATACTAGGCAGAACAGTCTAATGTTTCTGTCGGTGGTGGGAAGGATACACCGTATTTCATGTTTGGCCATTGTTACAAAATTGCTAATTCTGAAGGAAATAAAAGGGAACATGTTGCTTGCTACCACTGCCTGTTATGAAAAGCCTTTGTTTTGCTTTTTGAGAAACACCGAATTGAAGTAAAAAACATTAATATGACCAGCCATGGAAGGGAAGTGGCTGCCTGTCTGTTCCCTGAGGGGAACTTGTGTGCTAAAATAACAATCTCTCCATATAATTATGTGATGCAATGCATGGAGAAAACTGAGTTTTATACATATTTATTCTTCTGCTGTTACACAGAGTAAGTTAAATATCCTGACTGTGATCAAAACAGACCTGGCTTTGCAGCCAGTCCTCTTCAGAGTGATTTTTGGTAGCTAAGCAATGACAAATTTTCAGGTTGCCTTGATGCAGCTGTGCATTTTTAGTCTAGACTACAACAAAAGCTCCCAGGATTATGGTAGATGGCTGGGAATGCTCTCATTCCTGTCTGACATTGTGTCTTGCCTGAGCAGTCTTGACCTTTGCTTCAGGGTATCTGAAGGCAAAGCAGGCTGTTTTATGTAAGTTGGGAGGTACTTGTTGCTAAGGCAGTGGTTTTTCTCTAGGAGTACTCACTTTTCAAGCTTTCACCTGCTGAAGGAGCTGCTAACATTTTTGTACTGCCATTGCTGATGACGTTGATGAATATTTGTTAAAAATAATTTATAATATAGTACTGTGGGAATTCTAATTTGTAAGAGACCTCTCATTGAAAAAACTGGTGGTTGAAAAAAATCTGGGTTAAATTGAAGCTATCAGAAGAGATATTGTCACCTGATGTGCTGGGTGTCATTTTTGGTGAAACTTAAGAAATCTGCATGTGCTATTCACACTGTGTTTTTGCACAGCGACTTGTGGGAGGTAATACAAGAAGATTTTTCTTACTTTCTCAGACTAACAGCTAAGGAGCTTATGTGCAACTTCAGGTTCCCAAAAGAACATCAAACACCAAAAGCCTTAAAAAAAGGAGGAAAAAGGGTCTCATTAGTCGTATGAGTTTAGACTCCTTAAATGTGCAGTTGGAAAAAATATTCAAATTTTGTATTAGTTTTAAGTATTCACAATCTGTGATTTTCATACGGTTTGTTTACATGTGGTAAGCACTGAACAGATGTGACTGATTTCCATATATAAATATATGTCCCTGCTTGTTTGTAAAATGAAATTTGAATATTGTCTACCAGCGAGTGCTCACTGGATTAAAAAAAATACCTTTTTTGTGCTTTATTCTTGAAGGTTTGCCTACCTCAGCACATACCACTGATTTCTCCATATAAATATAGATGTTAAAAGTAAGGATTTTGTTTAGCCATTTAAAAGATTATTACACTCAATACAGGGAAGCATTTCAGCAGCAGCTTAATTTCCAGCATTTTGTGGGGATAAACCTGAACATGTTCCTATTGGAGGTAAAGCAATAGTGACTGCTTCTCTAGCTGGGTTAGGCAGGAGGGAAGTGGGCATACAGGTGACTAATGCTGTCTAATGTTGGTGGTTGGAACAGGGTGAGTGTAGGTTGACTGGTACCTGACTGTAGGTCACAGTCAGAGTGGCTGGGGTGATTGGGTGCCCTGGTTATTATAAATCACAAGAATCCCTTCCTATGCCCTTCTATCACTATTTTGTAGTCTTGATGATATATTACAATGTATTTGCAAACATACAAGCTTCTTAATTTTAAGATTATTCACATTGTTAATAAAATATGGTCAGCTAATATTTTTTCCTTTTTTATTTTCTTTGTTCTGAAATACTTTTATTTTAGGAAATACAATTTATCTCTGGGAGTTCTTACTAGCACTGCTCCAGGACAAAGCTACGTGTCCTAAATATATCAAATGGACTCAAAGAGAGAAGGGCATTTTCAAGCTGGTAGATTCCAAAGCTGTGTCCAGGTTGTGGGGAAAACACAAAAACAAACCTGACATGAATTATGAAACAATGGGTAGAGCTCTCAGGTATGTACATTTTTAATAATAGACTGGGTTTTGTTGCCTTAGTGTTTGTGTGTATTAAATGCCTCATCTAATTCTTATAATAATGGAAAAGATTTAGTATTCTGTTAGTTGGGGAAATGAAGAAGTTATTTCAGCAGAACAAATAGGTAAAAGTAACCCTTGTTAAGCTCAACCCCAAATCAGTCACCTTCAGTTTCAGCATAGACATTTTTCAGTGCTGCTGCAAAAACTGCAGCTGCACAGGCAGACAAAGTAAGAGACTGAAGATTCCAAGTGGGGGAAAGCCTTTTACTTAAAATTTCAATCTCTTTTCTCAAAAAAATTCCTCAATTCAGGTGTATTAATGAAATTATTTCTACTTGTTGCACATGATCCTGTTTCCAGTGGAAGATTCAGTTTTAGAATTCAGGTCTGGTTACACTTCTCTGAACTTGTGTGTACAGTTTTAAAACATAGACTCGTGTTCCACTGCCTGTCAGGCTGGGAGTTTTCTCATACGTAAAAGACTGTGCAAAATAAGCAGACATCCATGAAGCTTTAGTCTAACCTGCTGATTGATAATTGTCCAAACGAGCAGCTATGCACTTTTTTTCCCTTCGCCCCTCACCTCGGTGTGCATAATTTCAAGTTGTCATACTAATTCATAAATGTAAGAGAAGTAGTGCCCTCCTGTGCTGTTCTCTTTGCTTTGTTGTAGTTAAAACGTCTGCCTGTGCTCACTGGTGAATAAGCATGAATTCAGGTAACTGAAAGACCTGTATGAGTTAAGAGGAGAATTTAAGTTTCATGCAACTTTTTAAAGAGTATGAGTTGATAGCAGAGCTGCCAAGTCATGGCATTCTTTCCTTCTCTTTCTCCTCAGAGTTATCTAAGGTAGTTAAAAGATGGCATGAAATACCAGTCAAAGAAAGTTTGAGGAAGAGAATATGCTATTAAATTGGCCACTTTCTTATAATGAAGAAATAAGGCGCTTAAAAAATTGTTTACTTGTTACAGCTGTGTCCATTTTCTGGGAGTTTTGCTGATTTTTTTTTTTTTTTGTTTTTTTTTTTTTTTTTTTTTTTGGTAAAAAAACTGTGTAACTTGATGTGTGTGTACTTTAAACAGATACTATTACCAAAGAGGAATCCTGGCTAAAGTTGAAGGTCAGCGCCTAGTATATCAATTTAAGGAAATGCCAAAAGATCTTGTCTATATTGATGATGAAGATGCAAGCCCTAGCACTGAATCATCAGATTCAACTCTGCTCTCAACTTCTGTGGCCAATAGAAACCAATCAACCAGATCTAGAGCTTCAGCAAACGCAGGAACAAAGGGAGGATCAACCCCAGTGCTAAAAACAGGAAACTCAAAGCCTACTAAGCTGAGGGAGCACGTAGAAGTTGTACAGCAGCAGACACCTGGCTTGACTTCAGAAGTTTTGAGGACAATGCAATCTCCACAGCCAGTACAACCCACTCAGCTCTTTCGGACAGTTCACGTAATGCAGCCGCTGCAGCCCCTCACAGAAGGACATGCGGCTGTAACCAGTAACGTGCCGGATGAGTCCTTAAATCCCTCGGCTCAGAATATAAGGTAAGAAAATGTACAGAAACAAATGTTTGAAGAATAGTAAATTCACTGGATAATGGCTTGATAGACTAGATTCTTTGTTTTGCTTCCAAAAAACGCTTGTCTTCCAGTTTGGTTGAAGTGAAACAATGTCTTTGTGGCTGATCCTAGGAATTTAGTGTTACTACACCATTCTGTGATGTGTTCACTCATAAGTGCCCTGCCTTTGGTGGAGGGAAGTGCAGCTTTTGTGTAGTGTTAGGTCTGATGCACATTGTTTAGAGAGCAAGAATATACAACTTCTCTTTAAAATTGACATTGTCAGTTCTGTCCCACAGCAGGAGCTGTCTCATTTCTCTGTTTGGTGTCTTCGCTTTTGAATTACAAATGATGGGTCTACCGATCCCTGCAAAAAGATTTTCCTTCTTACTTCTTATTTTTCTTCTTAAGAATTTTTTGTCATCTCTTTCCTCTTTTGCACTGTCCCCAGTTACAGCAAGGGAAAGCTCTGTGTTACCTGCTCTAGCATTTTGCTGTTGTTCCAAGAACAAGTTATTTTGATTTTAGAAAGCAATTAACAGAATAATCCCATGGGAGCTGTGTATCTGCTGACTGCTTTGGGAAAGAAAAAGAGTCATCATGCTTATTTGTAGGTCAACTGGCTAACACTACACAGCCTTTGAGCATCGTGGCTCGTTTGCACCTACCCTTAATAGCAGCATCCTAATTGAAGAGGCTATGAAAACAATCATTTAAACCTGGTTTTACTCTAGCCTGGGGTGTCCCCTGATGGAACTTGTTCATCTACTACAAAAGATCTAAACCAAACAAGTGCTCTTGCAGTCTAGGCTAGGTCAACTGGCTAACACTACACAGCCTTTGAGCATCGTGGCTCGTTTGCACCTACCCTTAATAGCAGCATCCTAATTGAAGAGGCTATGAAAACAATCATTTAAACCTGGTTTTACTCTAGCCTGGGGTGTCCCCTGATGGAACTTGTTCATCTACTACAAAAGATCTAAACCAAACAAGTGCTCTTGCAGTCTAGGCTCCTTACAGGAATGTCTGAGTTGTATATGGTGATTGTGGACCTTAAAGCTGTTTCAGGAAGGCTTTAGGGCATTATTCAGTAGCTGTACACTCTTAATGAATTATCATCAACCTTTTTAATATTTTCTTGGATATGGTTATGATTTTGTGCTGCAAAATGACAGTAAATTTATTTCCTGCTCCTTCCCTTTATTCTTCAGAGCCACTGGTAGATTTGGTGTGGTACTGACTGTCTGGGGTTAGCCATGCATTTTTGTTGGAGAGACGTAATGATGCTAATGAGGCCAAATAATTTGTTTCCAGAGAATAGGAGAGAGAAGGATTATATTTGATCTAAAGTTTATGTTAAAGATAATTACAAAGAATTTGACCCCCAAAAAAATTCCAGTTTTGGGGTTCATTTAGAAAAAAATGAGTATCAATCTGCGTCAAGGTGAGATCTCATATATATTTAAAGCTTAGGAATGAAGTTACTCTGTACAGTGCATTCCTGTGATTTCAGGGTTGATGAGGGATTTATTTACTTGTAAAAATTGACAAGGGCAATATAGTGAAAGAACACAAGTGCAGGCATAATTGAGGCTGTACAGTACCATGTAAGTCAGTAGAACAATACTATTAAACATGAACAGGCTAATGTTCAGCAATTTGCAGAGTTAAATAGCTCTAGGCTAGACCTACACTAGATTATGTACCACAAACAATATCAGTAGATAGATGGCATAAAAAATGGTAACAACTGACAGAAATACCTGTGAGATTTAAGGCAGGCAAGAAGTCCAGCCTAACATTTGGTAAGCTGTTCAGTGACATTATGACAACCAGTTAGGGCGTTACAGTTTTTCACAATCGCACCTTGGGTAATAAGCTAAGGGGGAAAAAAAAAGTAGCAGAGGTGATACATGTGTGAAGTTGGAATGAAATAAAAGCTTTAAAGTCTTCGAGTTGTGCATCGTATCGGTTCAAATCCATTGTTTGTAACTTAGAACATTATGCCACAAAGTCTCCATCTGCACTTTTCTTAGCTAAGATGTCTTAAAAGAAGAAAATAAAAAGAACCTTCAGCCCTTTTTAGAATGGTATAAAAGTATTGCTGATTAAGAAAGTATATACTAAGGGGTCTGAACAGTTGGAGTGAAAATAAAAACCACAATCCAGACTTACTTTTGTGTGCATTTGACCAGGATGGGATAAGGTGCAAACCGAAGTGGTGATGAGTCCTGTGCAGTAGTCATTGCTCATTCCAGTCTCTCCAAGTACAATTTATGACAGATACATTTCTGCTCAGCTTCAGAGTACAAACTTCAAATAGTAACTGGTTCATGGGTTTCTTTGTTCAGACAGCTCTAGCATTTGAACATGTTTGTGTACACATTCTGGATTGCTGCAGTGAGGCTTCCATAAGGGTTGAATTGAATGGTCTACATGACTTGAAAATGTACAGCAGGTATGACTGCCATTGTAGACTAAGGTTTGACAGACCTTCTCATGTAGGCATATGCTTTGTAGGGTTGTGGTTGGAGTCAATTTATAGTAGGAAGCACGAGGACAAATAGCAGCATTGGTTGCCAGTTGCTGTTCAGCAGTTGGGGCCTGTAAATAGTCAAGGTCATTTGGGCAAAACAGCAACCGAGATAATGATCCTCAGAAGGTTTTCTGATGCATACTGGTTAGTGGTTGGGCTCTGCCTTGAAGCATCAGCATCTTGAGCCCATAAAATTTCTTACGCGGTGTAGCTTCTAAAGTTTTATTCATATAAATATTCACCCCTCTTCTTCATGGAAATAAATGGTCTTCCCTCTGCAGCAATTTGCTTCTGTTGTGTTGTAAGAAGAAAAAAATTATAGAGAAAATATTGAGCATTTTTGAGGTGAAAACAATTGGTTTCTTAACACTTAACACATAGCCTTCAGAGAGTAAGTCTGAACATGCATCTTCTCTGCTGAGCAAGTTGGTAAAAGATTCATTTGAGGAATATTGTGAAGGGCTCATGTCATCCCTCCCGTGTGCTAGGCAGCATTGCCTATTACAGACTACTCCCAGAACATCGCTGGGAGAGTGGCACAGCTGTTCCCCAGGGCTTTTTGGTGTTCCTCAAAGAAATGGGAATGCTAGTGAAAATCTCTGGTTGGTTCTTCGCAGGAGACAGGCAGTGGCTTCATTTACAGCTGCACTAAGCTCATGCAGAGTTTTATGCAGTTTGAGAAGAGGATAGTGTCTTACTCTGAAGTAGAAAGGTCTTGGCTTTTGGATGGCTTTTGATGTGCTTTTTATACAAGTTTTGATGCTGCTGTATGAAGGGGAGACAAAGAGAAGTGTTACTTACCAGGGATAAATGCCTCTTCTTCAGCCTCAGTGCTTAAATAGAAAGGCTATGATGTGGTGTTAACTGAAGCTTGGGAGACGGGGCAGGAGCAGGGTCAGGTCAAGCAAACTGGGTTTTGCTGACTGAGAAGAACATGGGTGGGAATATTTGGAATTGTAAACGCAGTGCTGTGCAGGTCTAACAGTTCCGGCTCCATGGATGCAAGCAGTTAGTGCAGGCTGCAGTCATGTAAGTGGGAGCCAAGTTTGGCCTCACGTATTTCCAGTGATAAGACAAACATAAAAATGCTTCCCTGATGAGCATTTTATTTCTTACTTTTTCCAGTGAGCCAGCTTCTGTGAGGAGGAAAATGTTTCTTTGAATTTAGCACTTGGACATTTTTTGTGTCTAAACCAGAAATGCTGGCACAGGTTAATTGGAATATCTGGCCTATTGGAGTAATTGTGTTTTAGGCTGGAATTAGGAGGCACTGGCCTGGAATTCAGCTCCATGTTCATTGGGTCAGTCTGAACATAAGGAGCATCCTTTCTGTGGCTCCTGAAAGTGTACCTCTCCTGTAATGCTAGGAACTTACCTTGCCTAGGGTATCATACAAGGCTGTAAGGTGCTGCTGTTTGGGCAATTCCTCCCTTAAATGACGAGGGCTGCAGATGAATGGAGATGCATTTTCATTTACCTATAATCTAGAGTATAGTGATTTAAGATAGAGTGTCTTCTGGATGGAGTGAAAAAAGGTTCTCAATGTTACTTACCCAGAAGATCATATTGTGAGTAATTTAAAATTATGTGTCTGTCTCTGTTATTGACTGTACAGGACATAACTGAATCTTGTAACTGGTAGCTCTATATACCAAGAAACTTGCAATTAACTGACTGCTGTCAGATCCCATGTAATTGTTTAGCAGACTTCAGGTTTTAAACACAATGTTTCTATCAAAATTCTGTTGTTTCCTTTCTGTATTTTCGAGTTATTATTATGATAGCTTGGACAGAACATGGTTAGAAGACCAGAATCCTGACTCAGTCCTGTAGCTGGGGGAAAAGCTAATATTGGCCACAGAGGACCAATGGAATATGCTCTCTGTGTTCACTTCTGAACTGGGAAACTGCTCCATGGTGAATCAGCCACCTCTTTCATCTTGACCTTTTTGCAGCCTTTGAGGTAGAAAATTACTCCTGAAGGTGACACAAGGGTGGACCGCAGTGGTAGGGTCCTCATTCAAGAGAAGGAAATAGCTGAACATGAATCATGTTTTTGGAGGGTGTAAGCATTCTGTGTTAGAATAGTGATGAAGCCAAGAATTTGCTGACACAGTGTGTATTGGTCCCAATAAGCAGAGGCAATTACCTCTGAAAGTCATGTCTACCCCAAGCAAACACATGCTTTCTGCTTGGTTCCATAATCTGTTTCTGGGTCCTGGCTGTGATGCATTGGTGGTCTGGAGAGCAGCCAGGCAGAAAGGG